CCCCCCCCCCTCTTCCTCTTTTCCTCTTCAAGCTGTGTGGTCTCACTGTAACGACCTGCGACTGCAAATCCTATGGGAGTAACATGTGACCCGGCGCTGCTTTCTGCAATTATATACTGAACGCGACGGAATTTGTTGCTTGTGCGCAAGTGCAGGTAAAGGCGCATAGCATTATCATTGCAACAGGCGCAACAGCAAGAAGGTTGAATCTTCCTCGGGAGGAGGAGTTCTGGAGCAAGGGCATCAGTGCATGTGCAATCTGTGATGGCGCCAGTCCCATTTTTAAAGGCCAAGAACTAGCAGTTGTTGGAGGGGGGGACTCCGCCACTGAGGAGGCTATTTACTTGACGAAGTATGCGAGGCATGTTCATCTGCTTGTGCGGAAGGACAAACTGCGAGCAAGCAAGGCAATGCAGGACAGGTCAGTTTTCCCAAGCTGGCATTCCCATTAGCTTTTCATTTCACTGGTGACTGCAACAGACAGAACTCTTTTGATTGTCCAAGAAAGGAGGATTATGTTAGGAGCCTGATTTTGCCTCCCACCCCTTAAAGTTGATCCTCTGCATACCACTTGTGCAAGTGAAATCAAATTCAGCAGAGGTGCTGGAGCGAATGAAATGGATTCAGTGGCAGCGAAGCTGCAAGCATTTCCGCTTCTTTCACGGGTATGGTGCAGTAGTCATGGGGGCTATACCGGGAGAGAGGAGATAGTAGAAAGTACTGGAACCAAATCTGGGAGAAAGTGCCAGTAAGGAAATAGATATGGAGATTGCATTGTTAAGTGGCAGTGAAGCTGCTGTAATAACCTGCTAAAAAAAAGCTATTGTCGTCGGCCAGGGGCCGCCCACAGGGCACAGCAAGCCTCGCGCTGGGCTGTACCCAACCGAAGGCCTGAAGTAAAAAGCCTCAGAGGCCCTGCGCCCGACTGTTGACTAAAGTCAACTGTAAACTCGGAAATTGAGGCTCATAAGTCGAAGTCTGCACGGATCCAGTCCAGGCCACCAATCAGACACATACATTTGACTGTACGCAGGTATCCAGGCAGAATCTGGTCCAAGTGGAAGTGTGCAACTGTATGAGATCCAGGCCATCGACTGCGGGTCAATATGTGGCCTCGTAGCCGGGAGACCAGAGGCTGGTCAAACTGCGACTACACTACTTATTGACCGAGCCACTGCCCATCGACATTCAGTCTTGCACTTGCTTCTCGACGCTGGCACGGCGCTGGCTGGATGCTGGCTAGACACTGACTTGACGCTGGCACTACGCTGGCATTGTGTGTGACAACGACGCGAGACTGCTGCATTGTGTTGCTGGCGCCTCTCTGCTCTTGGCGCCAGCTGGAGACTTGATTGCTGATGTGGCGCTAGCCACATTGTCTTCGACTCAGATGGGGGAATCGGCGAGGAGGGAGATCAGGCTGTGAGATTGGTTGTGAGAGAGAGGGAAGCTTACCTGATTATTGCTGTCAACATTGTGCATTCTTGTGACGTCTTCATGGGAGATCTGTGCTTACGTGGCACTATGTTGTGATCGGTTCCCGCCAGGCTTGACTTTGGGGTACTGTACGCTGATGTGGACAGAGGGGAGATGCCCGAAGGAGGAGTGGGATGTGAGGGAGATCTATCTACGATGACATTAATGGATACTTTCTCTTCCACCCTCTAAGTCTATCTCCCTCCTATCAGCTTCGTCCCTTGGTAGACATTGTACTTCAGATCACAACTTGCGGTGAGACATCTTGTACTTCGACATTGACAAGTCACTGGGAGTGCTGCCTACATGGTATGGCATGTGGGTGCTAACGTGGCCATCTAGAGGACCAGCAATGTGGCACTTACCTGTGTCGTGACTTACGTGATGATGTGGCACTTCCAAGGCTCCAGTGGTATCTTCAGTCTGACGTGGCATAGGAGTGATGAACGGACTTGGCAATTGTGCGCTGCCGACGTGGCGATCGTGAATTCCCTTTTGACGGTCTTGCTGGCCAATATCGCTGACGTGGCATACTCCGTGGATGTGCTGCGTTGGCCAGACTGGTGTTATGTGCCTGATTGAAAACGAATCCAGCATAGCATACACATGTTCCCATACACATGCGGAATTGCAAGTAGACTTGGAGAGAGAAAATCCACACCAAACCGGATGATGAAATTGCACAGTGGAAGCAAAAAATAGAATTGAAACGAAATCAATTCTAATTTACCGTCTCTCCCAGTTCAATCAACAGCACAACTCCAAGAATCCCAACCACGTTAACAACATCTATGAACAAATTATTTACAGAGTTTCATCGAGGGAGACTTCTTCTTCCTCCCACACCTTCGAGCTCACAGCTATGGCGCAGGCCTGCGCCCAACCTATCAAGCCCACTAATCGCCACCAACCCTTGTATCCCCAAACAGTCACTCAGCAGTTCAACCGCGATGCCCACTGCAGGTGACGTGTCCGATCAGCAAAGGAGGGAAGCTCCCTAGACGAAGAAGAAGCACAACAGGTCGATGAAGGTGACCTGCCACTTCGAAGCAGGCATGGAAAAGCTGCTTCAATGGCAGCTGTCAAAACCCCAACAGAACAGCGGTGGAGGAAGCATCTCACAAAGCAGGGCCTGATGCCCCGGGGCCAATTCCACACAAGCCAGGTAAACCCAGCTATGGCTGTCAGCTTCCCTTCCACGAGGAAGGAGGAGCAGCACTTGGAATTAACGCAGCTTCAGCAGCAACCTCCAGCAGCACTTCGTGGTGAAAAAAATGACGAACAGAACCCCTAAAACTTTGCCCTCGGTACTTTTATTCATCTCCAGCCTCCCAGACCCGACAGCCTACAGCTTAGTTTTGCATCTATAGCCTAGGACTGTATCTAGACAGAAAACAGCACCAGAGGGGAGAGGCCTACGTTCCTCCTACTGAAACAACCCAAAACAGCCCGAAGGGTCTATGACCAGCCAACAGAGACTGCTGCTGACAGGTCTAGGGATCGAGTCCAACAAGGCTCAAAATAAACAGGCAAACACAGCCAACAAGCAAACAAGCAGACAAACAGGTTGCGGGATCAAATCCCGAAGGACTCAAAACCAGGCAACATCAAACAAGGTTAGTGTACAGCTCGCATGCCACTGCAATTCATTGCACTGGGATGTGAGACGTGGCACGGAAGATTTGCGCTGCCATTTACCGTGAAGATTGGTGGGGATCAACACTTGCACTTGTGCGCTGATGGGTGGTAGGGCAATGGGTTACGTTGTAGTGCCACGCGTCAGCCCTTGTGGCTGGATTCAGGTATCTGCAGCGAGACTGCAAGAGGATGAGCAGCTGACACACCGATTGCTCTTGTGTTGTGATTGGCTGACTCTACTCACTTGTCGTGGGCTGTTCTGTGGATGCTTGATACTTACCATTTGTGTTGTTGTCTTGATCGCACTGGCGGTGGCTGCGGTATCTGCACACTCTCAGATAGAAGCGTCATCACATAGACAAACAGCAGAACTAGGAATAGATACAATTGAAGTGTCTGAATCCTACTTATCTTTTTACTATTGTCTTTGCCGTGGAAATTCGAAATTGAAGTGAGGCTATGGAATTTGCTGTTGTCTTTTTGAGTTTATTGTGCGGCATACTCACTCGTTAGGATGGCTTTTGTGCGGAACTGTCTGCTTGCATCCATTCTGACCCGTTTTATTCCTCATTTCTTCTACCCCATCTCCATTACTCTCTTTGCTGATGAAGAAGAGGGAGTGCTGAGAACCCGTGGCCAAATTGAAGAAAGACGACAGCTAATGGTGAACCGTCTGCGCACATTGGTCCAAGAAATGCACAAAGCTGTTCCCTGTGCTGAACAGCATGTACGCAGCCAGTTCGATCTGCAAGCAGCAGAGGACGAACAAACAAAGGCTTAAACTGCTGTTCAGATGTTAGAAGTCAGCTGGGTAGTGGAACAGATCATTGATTGAGGACGAATGACCCTCGATCATTTTGTCGCCGAGCATTATGTGAAGATAATCAAAGGAGAACAGTCTAAAGAGGAAGGAAAGGAGGAATTGTGCTGCAACAAAGAAGAATTGCCCGAGGAAATAATGGCTGACAGTATCCGACAGTTGCAAGCTGCGTTAGATGCAGAATTGAAGAAGAAAGAAGCCTATCAGACACAAAGAAAGAAAGATGACAACAAGTGCAAGGAAAATGAGCAATATCGAAATGACAGATTTCAGATTGCAGAATCACATCGAAAGTCAGGAAGTCCCACTCTGTCCAGAAAGCAGAATTGCACCAATATTACACCAATGGAGAAACAAAACACTGAATCCGAGTGTCAATGAGAGCATACTCTCACCATCACCAACATAAGTATCCAGAGCTCTTCCCCCTACTTGGCGCTCAGCGCCAGACTACTATCCCACAACTACTTCTAGCCTACGAATTGACAATGCAACTGTTGATGTCAGCAGCAGCACCGAAGTACATGAAGATGTCACCCCTTGCAGACTGTCGCCAAGACCAGGTACGTGCTCTCACGTTATCATCCTCATCGCTCTTTCTCTCTCTCTCCCTCGTCTCTGACCCTCGTCTTCTCCCTCATGCACGAAGACCAACACTACACCTTGCTCTACAACCAAGCACCAGCCGGTTATGGAGGCTGGGCTATGGCGCTGCCCTCAGCAGCGCCCTGCACACACGACCGTATGCGCACGAACACCTTGCCTTAGCGCACCCTACAGCACGCGAGCACAGGCTCAAGCAGCTCTGCCGCACTATTGCCAATTGCCCGAATACTTGGCCAGGCAGTGGGCACTTTCCTATATGGAAAGTGTCTGCCCTGGTGTGCTGCCTGGCTGGGCTGGACCTGTGCCTATAAGCTTCCGGTAGGCCCTGCGTACTGGGCCTCTGCTGCTACTGCCCTGGGACCCGTTTGGTTATGCCTCCCAACTGCCTGTCGTGCAACCAGCTACCGATGCGGCCCAGGGCCTGCTTCCAAGAAAGGCCTAGAAGGCTGAAACGAAGTGCTGCTGCCCGTGGCTTGGGTTCCCTCAACCAATTGACGCGACACAACTGTTTGAACCCCATATGCGAAATAGACAATAATGGGCCTCTCGTAATTTTATCAGGCCCGCCTTCACTTGGGGCGGTCACACATTGCGAATAGGGCCGCTGAGGCCTGCCGAGGAGCGAGATCCTCGCACAAGCAAAGAAAGTAGAAGAAATCAAACAAAAATTTCATGTGGAGGGTTCGGAAACCGACTTGGCATCAGTCCTGCAGAACATGATGGTTTACCTCGTCCACCTAGAGATAAAAGTTGATAACTTCACCGCCGAATTGCAAATGGTGACGAGATTGGTTAAGGGAAAGAACAAGGGGGTGCATGAGGAGGTGACCGGGAAGGAAGAAGGAAAACCGCGGGAAAAAATAGTGAAAGATGTCGTGAAGAATCCGGAACAGAAACCACTCGAAAGGACCTTGAGCCCGACAAAGAAGAACCGATGAAGAAAGCGAAAAGCCAAAGCGTATAGAGCAGGTGAAAATGAAATTGCCGTTCACCTACAACGGCAAAAGAGGTGAGCACCTTCTCTAGATTGCGGAAATCGAGACCTACTGCAGCACCACTCCTGTCGAGGCCGAAAGTCAAGTCGCGTTCTGAACTTCATGTTTGGGTGCATGTTTGGGTGAAGTTGTGGAGTGGGTCCTGTCTGAGGCCAATGCCGCTGGCTTCAAAGATATTGGTGAGTGGTCCAAAACGATGACATTGAGGGAATTTCTCCAAAAGATTAAGAAGAGATTCCTCAACAAGATAATTGTTGGCAAGGCATTCGACCGTTAGCCAAAAGTGTTGGACTACTGTCGATGTGTTGTCTCATGAGGTGGATCGTTTGTTGCAGATACCTGGCCTGAATTTGCAGGACAACCAGGTTCTCTACATCTACTCACGCGCGTTGCGCGAGCCTACTCGCGGACAACTCGTGGCAGAGTCAAAGTCTGGTAAGTACAACTATCGGCAATTCCGCGATCTCGCGCTCCACAGAGAGCAAATGACCACGCAGGTAAAGGGAACATACGAAAGTGTGAACAAGAGTGGACCGGTAAGCGGGTATGGGAGTGGAAAAAGGATCTTGTGGAGACAAAAAGCGGCCGGATCACACCCTCGTCGTCTTTGACGACGACACAGTCGAGAAGTGGCCCATCGACGAGGTCGAGGGTGTAGCAAATGGTGGCAGTGAGTCCGGGAAGGGTGACGTCACTTCCACGATGGCCAACAAGGGTGGCACCAACATGAATCGGAATTTAAAGAAGAGGAGACCACGCTCCTTCCCAGAGTATCCCGACATAGCTATTGGGAGGCCTTGGGAAAAGATGGGTCTGTCGCAGTACGAGTGGCAGGAATGAATGAACAATCAGCAGTGCCTGAAGTGCGACGTTGCAGGGAATATCATTGCATGGTGCCCCCTCATTCGTAACCCAAAAGGGAGCGGCCAGTACGAGTAGCATCTGCTCCTACTAAGTTGGAGGGTGCAGATAAAGGTAAGGCGCCTCAAACCCCTTTCAACCCTCCGACTCGCAAG